ATAGACAGAGTACGTGACCTAGGAAGTCAGACTCAGGAGGGGTCTGGGGTCAGTGCTGCACAAAGGGACCCAGGAAGTCAGGAAGGTCACAAGAGGTGTCTGGGGATGACGTTGCATATAGGGAGGGGACTAAGCAAAGGGAACTCAGTCCTCTGCCATCCCACTCCCATGTGGCACCGCCCCTTGCCTCAGGAGCTCAAGCTCCGGCTACTTCCTTGTACCCAGCTTATCTCACAAAGCATTGCCCACTGCCTCAGGGCTTCTCCGTATCCAGCCCATCCCAGTTCACCACGACTCTGCCTACCACAGCCCCTGCCTCGACTTCCAAAATACCCAGATCTTACCCTACTCTTGCCACAGCGCCCAACCTGGTAGCTGCCAACATCAGACAGTCCCTCACACATTTCTGTTGTGTTCTTTTTTGGTTCTCTTTCTTGGCAAAGAAGGCATAAGCTAAACAAGAGTTAAACAGCACTGTCTTCTCTCTGGTTTGTGTCCTCAGCATTCTTTCCACTACATTCCAGCTGCCTCCATAATTAGGTTGGCCAAAGTAACAGGCCCGGATGACACTTTGGCAGTAGGAGTACAAACTAACTAAAGACAAGGTCTGGAGACAGATAGTCTAGTGAAGTTGGGATAATAAAGACCTGGTTAAAGGTTGTAGCTATGAGGGTGGACAGAAACAGGTAAATGTGAAAGATGTAAAGAAAGAAGCAATTTTGGTTGGTCAATAGAGTGAAAGGGATTGAGATTTCATTGCAATAAAAGAAGGAAATTCTCTTCACTAATGCAGGTTTCTCTTGAAACTTATGGTATTGGAGAGTTGACTGGAGATTAAATGTCTTGTCCAGGGTCACACAGCCATGTACATAGAAGAGGCATGGCAAAATTAAACTCAGTTCTCCCTCATTCCTAGGCCAGTTCTCTATCCATCATACAATGCAGCCTTTCTTGGTCAATATTAGGTTGGGAAATATAAGGAATAAAGGGCAGTGATAAAAAAAAATTCTTTCGCTAGATAAAGCATTCATTAAGTGCTTATTATCTTCCAGGAACCGTGCTAAGAGCTGGAGATATAAAAACAAGTAAGCAAGACAGTCCCTGCCCTCAAGGAGCTTATATTTTTTTTTCTTGGGAGAGGGGAGAGAACTAGGTCTCCCTATCTCACCCATGTTGTAAATACATCAATCACTCGTCAGTCTGACCCCACTATTGACTGGCAATGAAGCAACCTACTCTGCTTCGAAGCCCTGCCAGTTCACCCCTCCTTGGGCATCCTGGTAGCTTCTCTGTTCCTGCGGTCACATCACATTGGTGCTAAAGTTAGCTCAGACACCTGATGGGCTTTAGCTACACAGAAGCTCAGAATTACCAAACTCAAGTGATACATCAGCCTTAGCCAGTAGCAGGGATGCCAAGTGTGGGCTGCCATACCCAGTTTACATTCTAATTTAAAAATAAATTTGTATTGATATCATTTGTTTTAACATTGCTAAGCCCTCTTCATCATATCCCTTTCCCTCCCAGAGAGCTGTCTCATAAAGCAGAGAATATTTTTAAAGAAAAAAAAAAGGTGGGAGTGGAGCCAAGGTATCAGAGTAAAAACAGGGACTCGCTTGAGTTCTCCCCCAAACACCTCCAAATACCTGCAAAAAATGACTCTAAACAAATCCTAGAGCAGCAGAACCCACAAAAAGTCAGAGTGAAACAAATTTCCAGCCCAAGACAACCTGGAAGATCAACAGAAAAGGTTTGTTGCATTGGGCTAGGAGAGGAGTGCAGTCCAGCAAAAGCTCACCAGCACAGACCTGGCCCCAGTGAAACCTGGAGCAGGCCTCGAGGGACTGAATTGTAGGTAGCTGTGACAGTTTCCAGACTTCTCAACCCATAAACACCAAAGACAACTTAGAAGGTTAATAGGAAAGGTCTGTCAGACCCAGGTGAGAGAGGCACACATTCCAGCAAGGGCCCCAACACAGGCCCAGGGAAGGGGCTGCTTTTGGAGCTGTCAGCCCACAGATTGAAGGGGATTGAACAACTGATCAGAAGGAGATTACAGGGATCTCTTTGCTGGCACCGAGGCAAGACTCTGTTGCTTTGCCCATACTCAGATCTGGGTGGAAGTCCTGGGGCAAGGAGGAGCACTAGCATAGCAGAGCTTGTGGCAGCAGTGGAAAGGGAACCCTCCTCAGAGTTCTAGGGCAGAAAAGAGTGTTTGTGGTCACTCACAGACCAGAGCACAGGCCAGGAGAGGAGTAAACACCTTAGTAAACACACCATCTCCTTAGATCATACCACCTTGGAAGAACTGAAAACTTACAGGTTCTTAAAAGTATCTCTGAAACAGCTGCATGAAACCCCTGAAGCTTGGGACAGTGCAAAAAGTCAAATAATTGCCTGGGAAAATGAACAAACAGTGGGAGAAAAAAATCAGACTATAGAAACATACTTTGGTAACAAGAAAGCTCAAAACCTACACTCAGAAGAAGACAATAAAGTCAAAGCTCCTATATCCAAAGCCACCAAGAAAAATATGAATTGGTCTCAGGTCATGGAAGAGCTCAAAAAGGATTCTGAAAATCAAGTAAAATAAATGGAGGAAAAATTGAGAAGAGAAATGAGAGTGATGCAAGACAATCATGAAAAATGAACCAACAGCTTGTTAAAGAAGACCCCCCCCAAAAAAAAACAACTGAATAACATCTTAAAAAATAGACTAGATCAAATGGCAAAAGAGGTCCAATAAGACAATAAGGAGAAGAATGCTTTAAAAAGCAGAATTAGCCAAATGGAAAAGGAGGTCCAAAAGCTCACTAAGGAAAATAATTCCTTAAAAATTAAAATGGAACAAATGGAAGCTAATGACTCTATGAGAAATCAAGAAATTACAAAACAAAACCAAAAGAATGAAAAAACAGAAGACAATGTGAAATATTTTATTGGAAAAACAACTGATCTGGAAAACAGATCCAGGAGAGATAATTTGAAAATTATTGGACTACTTGAAAACCATGATCAAAAAGAGACCCTTCTTTCAAGAAATTATCAAGGTAAACTGTCCTGATATTCTAGAACCAGAGGGTAAAATAGAAATTGAAAGAATCCACTGATCACCTCCTAAAAGAGATCCCCAAAGGAAAACTCCTAGGAATAATTGTAGCCAAATTCCAGAGTTCCCAGGTCAAGGAGAAAATATTGCAAGTAACCAGAAAGAAACAATTCAAGTATTCTGGAAACACAATCAGGATAACACAAGATTTAGCAGCTTCTGCATTAATGGACCACAGAGCTTGGAATATAATATTCTGGAGGGCAAAGGAGATAGGATTACAACCAAGAATCGCCTACCCAGCAAAACTAAACATAATCCTTCAGGGGAAAACATGGAAATTCAGTGAAATAGAGGACTTTCAAACATTCTTGATGAAAAGACCAGAACTGAATAGAAAATTTGACTTTCAAATACAAGACTCAAGAGAAGCTTGAAGAGGTAATCAGGAAAGACAATCAGAAGCAAATACTTGAGTAGCGACAGGGTCAAAGGTGAAAATAGGATAAACGGGTGAGGGGAGGGGATGGGATAGAGGAAAATATAGTTAGTCTTTCACAACATGATTATTATGGAAGTGTTTTGCATGACTACACATGTATAACCTATATCGAATTTCTCAATGAGGGTAGGTGGGAAGGGAAGAGGGGAGAGAATTTGGAACTCAAAATTTTAAAAAGGAATGTTAAAAATTGTTTTTATATGCAACTGGGAAATAAGATACACAGGGAAAAGGGTATAGAAATCTATCTTACTCTACAGGAAAATAGAATGGGAAGGGGATAAGAGAAGGTGGGGAGTGATAGAAGGGAGGGCAGATTGGGGAGTAATGGGGTGGGGGGAGGGGAGGCATGGAGAGAAAATTTAGAACTCAAAATCTTGTGGGAGTGAATGTTGAAAACAAATAAGTTTTTTAAAAAAGGAAAAAAGGTAGGGGTAGAAAAGAAAAAAATCAGCAAAATTGATCAATATATCGAAAAAGTCTGAAATTATGTGCAACATTTCACATTTGTGGAATTCCCACCTATGCAACAGAGTAGTAGGTGGCAACTTCTAATACCTTGCTAGAGCCATGCTTGATCTTTGTAATTTTGTAATAATCAGTCTGAAAGTTTTGTGGTTATTCAACAATTTATGTTGTGTTACTGTATATATTGTTTTCATAGCTCTGCTTATGTCACTCTGCAGCAGCACATATAAATCCTTCCCATGCTTTGTATTCATCAATCAAACTGGTCATTTCTTACACCATTAGATTCCATTAGATTCTGGTAACACAGTTGGTTTAATCATTCCCCAATTGATGGGCTTCTACTTTGTTTCCAGTTAGTTGCTTCCACAAAAAGTACTGCTATAAATATTTTAGAGTATTTATTTGGAGCCTTCCTTTTTATCATTGACATCCATGGTATTGTCCACCTAGCAGTGTGGATGAAAATTCCAAATTGCTTTTCAAAATCACAGCTCTACCAACTCCGCCTCCTCCTGCTCCTCTTCCTCTTCCTTTATTGGGAGCATTTTTTTCATGTTTGTTAATAGGGTGCATTTCTTTTTTGAAGAACTGTTTGTTCATATCTTTTGTCCTACTTGTCGTAGAACTGCTTTTGGTTTTCTTAGTTGTCTTTATGAAACTTACTTTCTGAATTTCGTATTAAAATGAGACGACTTGCCTAGACGACTTCTCCTTCCAATTTTAACATTCTTTGCTCCTGGATGCTCCCAAACCAACACTTCAGGATTCCCCTAGAGCACCTTCACTATACCTAAACAATCAACACGTGCCCCGCCCACCCAGGCCACGCCTCCTTTTAGGCCACGCCTCCTCATGCCCTCCACCGCCCAATGACCAAGGTACACGGCGCAGCCCATCTCATAGGTTTTTAGTTGTCTTCGAGATGCCTGGATGGAATGTCAAGAAATTCCATCCCACCGCGATATTCTTTCATTATACCTAGTTATCCTGGAGACGATCGGAACCCGAATCCTCTAGCCATGATCTCCTGGCAGCAGCGTTAGTGGCAGCCGGTTGCCTTCTAGAGCCCGCCCCGTCGCCTTCCTCCCACCGGCTCAGGGTCCTAGCAGAAAGCTGCTCTCACCCGAAAGGCATTTTGGGAGTAGTAGTTTTCTACTCTCTCCAGCCGGCGCGGGGCCCAAGGCAGAGGACTACACCTCCCAGCCGCCCAAGCGGGCCGCCTATCAATGGGTCCCACCTGTCCCGCGGACTCGCCGTAGCGCGGTCCAGACAAGGCGGCGAGGAAGCAGGAAGGGAGGGAGAAGGGGGCGCCAGGCAGGTGTGTCGACGTTGCTCCGGTAACAGCCCCTTGCCCGGAGCTCGCTTGCCTGCTTGGCCCCCTTCTTCCTCCCTGTGGTTCGCAGCGTCCTGGGGGACCGGCCCCAGAAAGGCGCCATGGACATCTTCGGGGACTTAAGGAAGATGAACAAGCGCCAGGTAACCGGAGGCCCGGGGCGGGGGCCGAGACCGGGGGGCCCGGGCTGGGCTTGGGGTGTCGGGTCTCCGGGGAGCGCGCGGGCTGCTCGAGAACTGAACCCCGGGGATGACGGGCGGAGGCCTGGAAGGGAGGGAAAGTGAAGGACAGCCCACCTTGCCTTACCTGAGGGGGTGAGACCGGCAGCCTCGGGGTGGGGGCGGGTAGGGCCTGGGGTCAGTAACCAGTTTGCTTTTCAAATATTTATTAAGCCCCTGCTGTGTGTAGGCTGTGGGGGTAGATAAGTTTAGATTAGGCACTGCCCCTGCCCGCAGGAAACTTGCATTCTGTTGTAACATAAGGGCACAGGATTGAGTCAGCCAACTTCTGCAGGGGGCTGAGCTGTGTGCCAAGCACCATGCTAGGCACTGGGGGGTGAGGGATAAAGCATGCCAAGTCCGGCACCCAGCGGTGTCTGTCTTCGTACCGCAGGACGAGGGCGGCAGGGTAGGATGGTGAGGCATTGGAAAACCTGCCTTTGAGGAGCACTTGAAGGAGCCTGGGATGTTTGGCCTGTAAACCAGACAGCTTATCAGTGAAGGTGCGACAAGCTGTCATCCTCTGTCTGAAGGGCTGTTACAGTCCTGCTTCATTGTCTGTTTGCAGCTGTGCAACTAAGCATTGCTGCCTGGTTGTGTGAATTCATGTTGCCTAATTTCACTTGGGCCTTCGCTCCGAAATTCTTTTATCCCTTAAGGTAGCTATTGAAATGTTTTCCTGCTGTCCCTATTTCAACCTGCCCCCAAGCTTTCAGTAGATGACCTGGTCACTTACTATAACTAGAGGATTGCAGCTGTGACATGAACTTCTTCCTTCTCCACCTCAGTGATACTCTGAATCTTTATTTTATATCAGGGGTCTCATGATCTTTTCCAAGGCTAATTCCTCCAATTTCCTTCACTGAATTGGATTTACTTGTGTTAAATTATACAAACACTGTTTGAGTGCCTACTTAGTATGACAAAAAATTGAGTCAGAAAGACCTAGGTTCAAATCCACTCTCAGACACCTACAAACTGTGTGACTCTGGGCAAGCCACTTAACTTCTATCTGTTTCATTTTCATCAATTTGTAAAATGGGGATATTTGTAAAATAGCACCTACCTGGAAGGGGTTCTTGTGAGAATTGAATTAGATGATATTTGTAAATCACTTAGCACAGTGTCTGGGACATAGGAAGTGCTATAAAATGCTAGCTATTTTTATAACCTGCTTTTATTATTGGAGATACTTTTTTTTTGCCTCCCACTCAATTGAAATTGTTCTCTCAAATGTTATTTGGGTGTTACCAAATCTAGTAGCCTTTTCTTCCACAGTATTTGACACAGTTGATCATCTCTTTGAAACTCTTATACTTTGGCTTGTTTTGCATTCCACTGTCCTTAGTTTCTTACCTCTGATCCTTTTTTTTTTCCTGTCTGCTTCTGACTCCTTTTCCTCTTGTCAACACCAAATATAGGTCCCTGTCCCTGTCCTTGACCCTCATCTCTTTATGTGGATGATTCCAAATATATGTCTTAAGCCCTAACCTTCCTCCCAAGCTCTAGTTCTCATTTTATGGACATTGTACTTTCCACAATGAATGAGCATCACTTAAAGAAAACAAAAATGGTTAACCCAAAAAAAGAGAAGGTTTGAGAAAGGACATGATTTCTGAATGCCCGTATTTGAAGGGTGCCATGTGAAAGAGGGATTAGACTTACTCTGCTGGGCCCAAGGGGAAGAACTAGAAACAGTATTTGAAAGATGTTTTTAATAAATGAATTGTATTTTATTTTTTAATTAACAAATATTTTTTCTCCCTCCCACTCTCCCCCTACACACTCACCCACAGACACAGAGGAAACAAGAAAAACAAATTCCTGGCAACAGTGCATAATCAAGCAAAACACATTCGCATATTGGCCATGTCGACAAATGTTTCATTCTTCATGTTGTCAGTTACTCCTCTGTCAGGAGGTGGATAGTATTCTTCATCAGCCCCTTGGAATCATGGTTGATCATTTTCTTGATCAGAGTTTTTAAGTCTTTCAAAATTGTGTATTTTTTCAATGTTATTAAGAGTACAAATTTTTCTCCTGGTTCCATTCACTTTACTCTTTATTAGTTCATAAAAGTCTTCCCAGGTTTCTCAGAAACTATCTCCTTCATCATTTCCTACAGCACAATAAATTCTGTTACATTCATATGTCAGTTTGTTCAGCCATTCCCCAGTTGATGGCTGCTACTTTTTTGGTTTTCTGCCACTATAAAAAAGAACTGATGTAAATGTTTGCGTGTGTGTGTGTGTGTGTGTGTGTGTGTGTGTGTGTGTATGTATAGGACCTTTTTTTCTTTTTCTTTGATCCCTGGGGATATAAACCCAGTAGTGATATTGCTATTCCAAACGGAAGGCATAACTTAGTAACTTTTTGGGCATACTTCCAAATTGCTTTCTAGAATGGCTGGACCAATTCATGGCTTCAACAACAAGTCATTATGTTTGTTTTCCCAAAGGCCTTCCGACATTTGTCATTTCGTTTTTTTTTTTCTGTTAACTTTCCTAATCTGATGAATGTGAGCCTTGAGTTGCTTTAATTTTAATTTCTCTAATTATTAGTGAGTTGGAGCATTTTCTCATGTGGTTATATATTACTAGGATTTCTTTCCTTGAGAATTGCCTGTTCATAATTTTTGACCATTTATCAGTTGGGTAATAGTTATTTTTCTTACAAATTTTAATCAATTTCTTATGTATCTTGGAAATGAGAAAAATTTACTGCAAAGATTTTTTTCCCCCAGTTAACTTTCCTTTCTAACTTTAGCTGCATTGGATTTGTTTATTCAAAAACTTTTTAATTTTATATATTCAAAATTGTCTTTTATTTTTGTGATCTTCTCAATGCCATGCTTGGTCATGAACCTTATCCCCTTATCCATAGATCCAAAGGTCATTTCTTTCTTGTTCCTCTAATTTGTTTGTATTGTGACCTTTTATATCTAGGTCACATATGCATTTGGAACTTATCTTGATATATGGTATGAGGTGTTGATATATGCCGTCCAATTTTCCTAGCATTTTTTTATCACATAATGAGTTCTTACTCCAGTAGCTGTAATCTTTGAGTTTATTGAACGCCAGGCAATTGTAGTTCATTTGTGTTCCTAATCTATTTTACTGATCAAGCACTATTTTTTAGCCAGTACCAAATTGTTTCCCTGATTACTACTTTGTTGTGTGTTTTAAGGTTCGGTACTGTTAAGCCACCTTATGACTGGTCTTTCTGTCACTGTTCTTTCTTCCCTTCAATCCATACTTTACACTGCTGCCCAAGTAGTCTTTCTAATACACTGTTATGATCTTGTGTTAGTCACGCATCTCATCGCACTTCCTCATGATAATACTTCAAATTTTTAAAGACAGCACAGCTGTCATATTGGCCCTGCCTTCCCATTCCTCCCCACTCAGTCAAGTCTTCAGCCTAAATTTCAGTCTAACCTTTATTTTGACTCTGCTTCCCTTCATGTACCATGTTCTAGTAATCCTTCCTTCCTTCTTTCCTTCCTTCCTTCCTCCCTCCTTCCATCTCTCCCTTCTTCCTTCCCTCCTCTCTCTCCCTCCTTCCTCTCCCTTTGTCCACATAGGGAATCATATCCTTACCTCTGGGTGCTCTGTCCAAAGGAATATAAATTTTGATTGCTGAAACCTCACAAGGTATCTGGGAGGATTAGGGGCTAGATTTCTTTTTTTAAGGACCACGCCTTAAATCCAAATCACTCTGGCTCTCACTGATTGGCCAACAGTAGTTCCCAACCCAAGCCTTACTTGGTCATTGTTTGTGTTTTGATGGCTCAGAGTGAGTGTAAATAGCAGTTGTTTCTGTTTTGGCCAGAAACCCTGAGAGTGTTTCCCTTCCAGATTGATTTTTTTTTTTGACTAGGTAAAAGAGGTCATTTTTTTTTTTTTTGCCTCATTTCTTACCTAGCCTTAATCACTGAATGGGCATTGCCTCAGACAAATTGAGACCTGGGAAAGACCTTAGCTTACCACTGCATCTGAGGTCATCTCCAGGCCTTCTGATTTATATCCTGCCCCTGGACCCAGTTGGCTCTGGAGGACAGAGTGAGGCTGGTGACTTTGCACAGCCCTCTCTCACTTAAATCCAATTCACTTGCATGTGATGGCATCACCTTGGTGATGTCATGATCTTCTTTTGAGAGTGAAGGATAAACAACAACAATCTAATCATACTTAACTGCTCTCACACTCTTCTATCTCATCTCTCCTCTTTCCTGCACTTATTTGCAGAGGTCATATCCCGTTCCTGTAACTGGAATGTATTCCATCTTCTTACCCCCTTATTGGAGTGCCTGTTAGTTCATATCCTCTATGAAACTTTGTCAAATTTCATGTCTTCTTTCCTTCAATTTAAAACTCTCTTCCTTCTTAAATGCTTTAAAGTATTTTGTCTGCATTTCTCCTTTGCCTTTATTTTATTCCACTTTGTACCATGTTTCTTTGTCCATGTACAGTTTCCCTTTTTATATTGTAACCATCTTAAGGGCAAGGACTGTGGGGGTCCCCCCACCATGTTTCTGTCTCCATTGCCTTGCTTGTGTACCAAGTAGTGCGCATTGAGCATTTCTATTTTATTTAAGAAAAAGGATTGGGTGTGTGTGTGTGTGTGTGTGTGTGTGTGTGTGTGTGTGTGTTCAATAAACACCTGCTCTTTTAATAGGTTGAATTTAATTGAATCACTGGACTCTCTTTTCTCCTTTCCTTTTGTACTGACATCGACCTAGTTCAGCTTTTCATGATTTTAAAAACCTGAACTACTTGTAGAAGAGATTTCTATATTGAGAAGAAAGTTGTGCTATATCACTTTGAAGGTCTCTCTTACCTTTGAAATTCTATGATCCTGACTGTATCCTTGGGTGTGAAAATTAACCACCACTTCTGTGAGCAGGTCAGGAACAAGAATTG